GAATTCTAAAAATTCCATCTCTAAAAGTTTTATAACTTGTTTCATAATGAATTAGAAAAAAAAAATTCAAAGATATAAGCAGAATTATAAATAGGATTTAAAGTATAACAAAAATTATGCAATTCAAATCTTCTAAATAAAATCACATTTAAAGATTCATACTCCTCTGCTCAATTCTCTACTCGATCCATTCCCATATCTTTCGCAAAAAGCATCTCATTACCATACAAAACACGCATCTCCCCCCTCCCCTTCCCAAGAAACGCGATACGATTGGCAATGAACTTGAGAAGGGAAATAAATATTCCATTGGAGACGAGTCTCGAAAAAATAAGGTTTTAAAAACCAACCTCCACTTTGACGACCTCGTACCCGTAATGGGCGGTGGTCGGTATGGCGGCAAGGATGGGTCGGCCCTTCGACTTGAATCTGGGCGCGTTGTCGTTCACGTCCTTCACCCTGACCACGACTCTGGCCTCGTTAGGTGCCAAACCGTTCAGCCTTTCGCCGACCACCGGGTAAATCATGACCGGCATCCCTCTTCCGATCTTCACCTTGTCCACCCTCACCTTAGCCTCGTATCGATCGTTCACCTCCCGATCCACGTCCGTCATCAGATACAACGAGCCGTTCCTAGGATCGACGGAGAAGAGTTGCCTCGCCTTCGTCTCATCTGCCACGATGCTGTACCGTATATGCTCGTCCTGTATGTGTCCACTGTCGGCCAACTCCAACCGGGCGACCAACACGGGCACCTCCACGTTCTCCTCGACCTCCACCTCGTAGTAACGGTGTTTGAACGAAGGCGCCTTCTCCATCTCCGTCCCTTCCTCGTCGTCCTCGTTCGACACGGCGACGATCACCGCCGCTGTTGACGTGAGGCTGACAGGAGACCCTAGATCGCTAGCGGTTACCAGTAATCTGTGGCTTCTTTGCCTCTCGTAGTCCAGATTACCGACAACCGTGATCACACCTTCCTTGCTGTCGATGGCGAACCACTGTTTCTCGATCTTGCCAAGATGATTCAGGTCGAACAGGATCAGACCGTTCCCATTCCCGGCAAAGTCAGAGTCGTTGGCGGACACCTTGATCACTTGGCTGCCTATAGGACTGTTCTCGAGGATGGAGGCATGGTAGACGGGAAGGGGGTCGCCGTTTTCGTCCTTC